ATGTGTTGATTTTGGTCTTTAGCAAGACAAATACTCCTGGTAATGAAATTGACTTACTAGATGTACATGTGAAAGATGATTGCCAGTTTTGTGGGCGTACTGGTTTAAGCACAGATAATCTTTGCTTAGTAGAAAAAAAACAATTTACAAGTAGCACCCTTATTTACTGAACACAGAAATACTCGGGAGCTATAGCACCCAGGGAAGGGATGTGTGAGAAGCAATGTGTGGGGAGGGTGCAAAGTTTTTTCAAGACCGACCAAGGAACACTTTGGGCCAGCAATGTGTGGACTTAGCCAGGCAGTGCATTCGTTATCTTTTTTGACACACGAACAGAACTTTGATTCGCAAAGTGTCAGCCTCCTTGTGGTTAGGCCTACATGTCTCCTGAGCTGCTTTGGCTGTTGCACTGAGCTCAATGTAGGCGATTTCAGACATTCCATGTCGTTCGACCAACGGTCAGTTACTTCATACTCGAACGGCCCTTGTTGAACAAATTTGTGAAATCCCACCATCTCTCCCATTTTGTCAGTTACATCTCTCATTGTATTCACGGCCCCTGCCATCTCAGTTACATGTATTTTTCACATCAATGGTTCCCTTCTGTGTATAATTGCCAAGAAAGGTTCCAAACTGTTGACCAGATAGTCCAACCGTCCATCCACGTACATGTCCATGTACATGTTGTCCACATTGCCAAGTGTTGGTGTCAAAAGCTGTGCCACTCGGAGCTCAAGAATGATGGCTTGAGAGCTGTGCAGATGCCACATAGCTGAGAACAATGATTCGGGGAGCTTCAACATTCTTCAATTTCAAGAGGGCACTTTGATGATAAACTGCACACAGTGTTGGGAAGAGGTTTTTAAGAGCCAGTGGCAGTGTTATTCTAACATAGCTCATGCTTTGCCATAATGCACTTTCCACAACACTTCAACTTAGGCATACCGGTAAATGGCCTGTTAGAGAAAGGGTTGAACACCTGCTTCTGGTACTGTGGTCTAACATCGTTAAGGGTGCACGTCATGTTTTAATAAAAGATTCCAAGGTGAGGAGATAACATGAGTATTTGACCCGTACCACCCATGAGGAGTCATCAGTCGGGGTAAGGTGGCAGGTTGTAACGGTTGGGTTGATCGCGAGGGGTGTTCTGCCCAGGCAACCTGCCAAAAAATTATGATAAGGCACCCATCCCCTTCCCTCCTCCCCCCTCCCCCTAGATCTGTACCAAGTTAGACCCTGCCATTGGCCGGACTCATGTTCGCCAGCACGGGGTAGGAAGGTGTTGCAGAATCAAGGAAGGCGGACTGTAGCCACTATGTACCAGTACATGTACTTAACGTGGGCACTAGGGATTGGAGGGGGAATGAAAAATAGAAAAATACTATGGACTGGAGAATTTCTATGGGAAATATACATGTCGGACACCAGTGGAATTGCAAACAAAATTGGCTTGATTGAAAATGCCAAATTCATTATTATATGGTGAACAGAGATCATACAAGAATTTGGTGTCACGGAAATATTCCCAGGTCAACTCTTATCATCTAACTATGAGCCCCCAAGCTGGACCAAGAGAGGGTGCCATTTTCCTGGCAACAGAGACTCCATTGGTCAGATCAGCTTTTTCACAAACGACTATGAAATGCACCAACAAAAGGACCTCTCCCGACCAACATGGCTCTTTTCAACTGATGAGGAGGTGCTTCTGCTCAGGGTGGATAGTGCTTTCGTAGCCTTATCTTATGATATTAAGACACTCTGGATGGATGTTTGACTGCTTAGTGAACAAACACAGTATGACATTGCAAGAGGTCTTGAAACTTCCTGTGGGCCTTGACACTGGGAATTCTGTCATTTTTGTGAATATTGTGTGGGTATATGTACAATGTACAGACTGAGGTAGGTCAACATCGACAGCTACATTTTTTTTTTACCTTCTATCCCACATCATGCATTAAGGAATATGTTTTACATACAGTTAAGCTTTCAAACTTTGGACAAATTTCCCGACGGTAATGTCCTCAATGGTCATGGACATTGGGTGCATATAAATTGCTTTTTTTTTGCTGAAATGGTCCTGTGCATACATGTACATGTAGGCGCTCTATACGTACATGTATATAATGGAAAAACTCACTGACCTGGGATTTCTGCATTTGCACCACTTGAGGTCTCCTGTAGGAACATGGAGCATCAGAGAGCCGCGACCTGTTGATCTCCTTTTAGAGCCTTTTGAAACTGAGTTTGGACTTGTTTCTTGTGTTTTGTTGACTACAGAAATTTTTGAGGGGTCACACTGTGACAGAATTTTTTTTTTTTAGTATTGTTGGCTTTGTTTGAGTTTACGTTTGTTAGAAAGAGCAAAATGAGCTCTTTGTTTTGATGTACGCTCAGTTGGCATTGTAATAAAAATAGACATTTGTGTGGGTGAAAATATTGACTGCTCCCATTGATCTGCTGGTACATTATGCAGGGGCTCCTTGGAAGGCATCTCAAAAGTGGTTGTGGCTACTGATTTTGCTTGGTGGGATCACATTTCTGTTTACATCACCCAGCATGAACACATACAAGAACACATTGCTGGGTGATTTTTTTTTGCCTTGCAGTCTCCAATTCTCTTGCTTCAATGGCCTTGCCGTGATATGCATGCCTGAGGGAACCAGAATGTACTGGCATGGGAACCAGTACACTCATTCTGACGCATGGGGTGAACGACTTCGGGAAAAGCCGGGACCCCTGAATGCCATTCATGAGTAATGTGCAAGCATTCATGTCTAGCAGATGCCCAATCTTTCATGCTGGTCCCACTGGCTGGTAAAAAACCACTAAATCGCCCCCCCCCAGGTGTCCCGCCCACCAGCGGGCTCCTGTCGCGGGAGTTGAAGGAACCAGCAGGCTGTGTGTCGGCAACTGCCGCTGAACCCTTGCGGTTAACCGCACCACAGAACAGCTTGCCAGGGGGGATCAGTCTGGCTTGATCAACAGGCTGTCATTGTCTGTAGCATGTGCGGTGTGAACCTCCCCCATGTTGCAGGGCAGACACTGCGGTTTTGTGAGTAGGTAGTCCCCCCAAATTGTTTGGCCAGCAGCAGCTAGTCCCCCCCCCCCCTCCCAAATTCCTCCACATTTGAGAAGAGTTTTCTTGGAAAGTGTGTGGGTTTGGGGGAGAAGGGTCAAAAGTGCAAAGTGGTCATTCTAACCAGAGTCTCTGATTTTGTAAGGATGGGTGGGAGAGAGGAGAAGAAAGATTAAGATGCTTTTTTTTCCCCCTTCCATATGGAACAGTTTTAAAAGCCTGCTCACAAAACCTACTTGTTTGGGATCTGCATGTATGCATTGCAATTTTTTTCAACACAGCCCTTGAAAATGCACCTCTCAATTTAACCTAATCTTCAGGGTTTTTAAAGGTCATGTTAATGCCTTTTTGTTTTTATGCTGGCAATGTTTCTATATTCATGAGCAAAAACCTGACTTTTTCTCCGCATTCTTCACATTTCTGCAGACTTACATGTGTGTCAAATACATGTGAGTTTTTGTGATCCGACACATGTGTTTCTTGAGAAAGATGCGATTGTTGTGCTCGAAAAGTGGACCCCGCTCACTTTCCAGAAAGACTACAAAACAAGATGTGAAAAACAATGGCTGATAGGATGCACCTCCACATTGGACCGGTGCCAGTTTGTGACGACGGTCGTGCTTTAGAATTGTGAGAAGGCAGCTGCTCTGTTGCAGTGTCTGATACGGCCTCGCAGAAATATTTTCTCCCAAATACAGTGATGCAGTGATGTTCCTTTGACCATATTGCCCTTCAGCATAACTTGGGTTACCTGTGGTTGAAACTGCTTCCAGACAAAGGTTACTATTTATTTAGGGGAATGCCTTTTAAAACTCATGTTTGAATGGTATTTTTGCCATAGACATCTACTGGCTTTGTTTATTCAAGTCACTTTATTACCCTAACTACCCCCAAACCTGCCATACCCCCAACAGCAGGTTTTGTGAGGTTTGGCTGATGAACTTGTTGTTGAATTTTGTGAGACTTGGTATGAAAGGCCCAGGGAGATGGTGTTGGATGCTTTGTGAGTTGGGACACACACGGGTCAGTGTGTGTAATGTCTGGCTTGCTGTACCATTATTGTTGGACTGTGCTTGATTTTGTCAGGTTTGGTACTGTTCAGTGCAAGTCATCCTACACTGCATTGACCCATCCATACCATATCATTCAAACTCCAACGGGCTCATTCTGTTGGAGTTTATCAGGTTTGGTACAGTGACTTGCATGTAAAGTACATAGAGAAGTACATGAACTTGATGGATTTTGTGAGGTTGAGTGTGCTTTCTAGTGCAGGAGCCTAGGGGGTTAGGGTTAGTTGTTATTGAGTATTTCAATGTACATGTACTTTTCTTTGTCTATTTAATGTTTTATTTGTACAATACTTTAAGATATGATTTGTCCTGTGAAACCTTTGGCTTCTTTGATACTACATGCCTAAGTACTTATTGTGGAGTTTTGATATTAAGAGCCTGACAAACATTTCTTGAGATAAATTATTTTAGCCGGATGAGAATTTGTTTTAGCCTCCATTGTCCTTTGTTGTTCAATCGTAATCAAAAGGTTCTGTAAATGAGGTAGTAAGTGTTTATGGATGCAGTGGGAAGACTTGAGGGGAAGCAGTTAGAATTTTGTGGTACGTGGGAAAACCTGGGAATTTCTACATCATGGACATTTCTGGACATTAACGGCAGTATGCCAAAAATCAGCCCCAAAATTGGCTTGGAAGAATCAGACTGGTGCAGTAACATACAGAAATGTGAGGAATCCCTCCGGGTTTGGCCGCTTCCAGACCTGAGAGTCTCTCTAATTATAGCATCTGATGGTCTGCATGAGAACCAGACTAATTTCTTCATAAGTTCCATAAATTTTGGCCTGTCATTTCCCTGCGTGGAGTGAGCATGTGTCTTACTCTGGTTTTTTCCTTCTTTTATTTTCCTCTTCTCAGGGCAATGCAACTCTTCACTTGTACCCCCACTTCAAGGAGCTGGCAAAGTTGGAAGGTGAGGGAGCTAGCCAGTTAAGGAATGCAAAAGTTGACCACTTACACTTACAAGAACATTTGGGTCAAGACAGGCATTAAAAAAAAAAATCTGAAAACAAATTTGATGATTCCAGCTGGCCAATGACCTTACTTTTTTCTTATTAGATAAGATTGTTGTCTGCTATGACTTGCACCCGGTGCTTTGGTCTTGACAGTTGGTGACATTATTTTTGGTGTTTTTTCTTTGGGGGGTCTTTGTTGGAGGGGCAGGGGTTTCTTTTATCTGTGTTGATATGAACATTTGGGGAATTCCATTTCAAAGGTGCCAGCTGATATTAAAAGCAAAGTGAATGTGCGGCTGTTATAAAAAGCCAGTGAGCATTTCAGAGAGAGGGCACATGGAAAGAGGGTTTGTGATAGTGTCAACGATAGCACACACCTTGGACCTTGTGTATAAACCCCAGTGGTTTGCAACAAGTGGACAAACATGAAGGGCTGACTGGCTTGTGTCGATGCGACTGGGGTGTCTGGGTTCTTGCTCCATCACCAGTGCCCGGCAGAGGTTCTGCCATGCGGCAACATTTCACTGGTAGGCTGATGTGTCGGATCTCGGAATGCCATCAGCTGCCCGGTGAAGTGTAGCAGCGTGGTCAGGTGATCTTGTCTGTTGGACGCCAACGGAGGAAAGAGGAGGGGAGCTTCTAAGGCGGCATTGAGACCACCTGTGTACCATGTGACAACACAAAGTTGGCTCTCCCAGGAGCTTGATGCTTTCGGACCCCGACATGAAACCGCTGTGTAGACGTCTCAGTTGCGGGTCTGTGGTCATTGGGCAAGCTGGCCTGCTCGGGTGTGCTTCATTGCTACATTTAGCTGCATTCTTTCCTGACCAGGTAATGCAGCATGATGTAGTGGTGAATCACGCAGGGCATTTTGCAGCTCGTCACCAAACGAAAAAAAGAACACAATATGGAGGAATGCAACATTAATATGCAGATAAGGCTCAGTCTATTCAAATAATTGACTAGCCAAATTTTTAGTCTTCCATTTGATTGAATGTTCTACTATTCGGTTGTACCAAATTCCCCAATAAGCAGAAACAAAATACATGATATTACAAAGGTATTTTAAGAGCAAAAGTTGCGAGAAGAAGTAATTTCTAGCCTGATTGTTGGACATACACATTCAGCTGACTTAAAAAGTTTACTTAATACACTTTGACATGTGCTTATGGATTGCTGTGTTGCAACCAGATGATTGATTTAATTGCAATACCTTGAAATGCTCATGTGCATTTGTAGAGCAAATTTGCAACCAAATAAGAGATTTTTTCCAATCTTTTTTTCTTTCTTTTTCACCTCCAAATATTCACTTTGATTGATTGGGAATGATGGCATACCCAAATCTTGGCATAATTGGCAAAACCCTAAACGGAAGAATCATCTTTTATATGGAAGTACATTTAATGTACGCATCAGGCAACCATTGTGCTTGGCCAAGAGATTTCTGGAGGGGAAAGGGGGATGTCAAAGGGAAGAGTAATTCATGCATCTTCCTGAAATTGGTCTTGACAGCGAGGCACACAATCTCCTCGTACCCATCAAAGAGAGAAAAAAAATGGAGAATTGATGGATGCGACATGCATGCAGACAATGTGTATCACACCTCACACAAGGCAGCCCAGTACATGCATACGATAGTTGTTTTTAAAACTTAAAGAATGCCATGGTTCAAGCTCCTGTCAGGGAAAACAATACATACATACATGTGCATATATTTATGTAGTTCATTTTCAGTCACATGACTTTTGACAGTCAGCGTTCAATTTACACAGATGTGTGTGGTAATGCGCACGCCTTTGAAGTGTCTCAGCATTCTTGCATACATGAAAATGCCAATAGAAATACAGTGTACCCGGATTCGAAAATGCGCAGACATGGTACGTTTCCTGAAATGCCATTGCTCGTCATGTTAGGTCATGTGAAAAACCTCTATATTGCCTCTCTGTCCTGGTTCAGGGTAAATGCTTTTTTGTTGTGGGTGAGGAGAGAGGGCTAGATGATGCTTTTTGACTCGAGCAATTTCTATGGAGAGTATACACAAAATGGCTGCATTAATAACAGGCTAAGTTGGATTCTACTGTTGTTATATCCGATACTTCGGCAAAGATGATCATGCGAGTGCTTGCCTTCTCTGATCAGTTTGAATCGACCCAGGAGAGAGGTTCCATGTGTGACCACACTTTGGCGTTCGGACCTCAGAGAATGTCAAGGAAAAGTTAAATATTCATCAGTGTTTCCCCACAGAACTCCAGACCCCTCCGTCTTAAACCTGACTGTGTGAAAGCTTTCACAATTGCCAATTATGCTTTGGAGGGCATCGCAATATCAAGGAAGGTAGAGCCCCTTTACATGTATAAATCATGGGAACAAATCAGTGTGTTGATTAATTTTACTCCAGTGGGACTTACAAGCATGTGTGCGTACACACAGAGAATTAACGTTTAATTTCCTGTGCAGAGGAAGAGTTTGGAGGATTAGGGAAGATGCCTGGCAAAAAAGGCCTAGGGAGTGAAAGTAGATTGGAGTCAAAGTGTCACTCCGCAGTAAAATGTGGAATTGACTCTTATCTTTGAAAGCTTGAGCCAGTTTTCAAGCAAAGTATTTCTCAGCATCGGGGTGAGATTTGTCAGGATTTTTCTTGATTTCAGGATTTTTTCGTAAGGAGTTTTTGACTTCAGGATTTTTCAAAGTCTCTTTTAAATCTGGAAAATCTTGACTTTAACATTGGAGTGTTTTTACATAGAGCACAAGAAATGGGTACTCAAATTGGTGTCATAGACCCTATGCTGCTGCGGGGCCCTCAAAACCTCTGGTGATTATTTCATGGATATTTTATGCTCCTCCGTTCTCACCCCTGTTAATAGCAAATACATGTGCCGAGCAAAAGATCAGCTGGGAACCGGCCACAAGGAATGTGCATTGTGTAACACTTAAACTGGTAGCTAGTTTATACTAAACAATTACTTTCTTTACTTGGTCAAATCTTGTGCTCATTGGCTCTATGAAATCATTGCGGAGCTTTTAAAGGCAAGTTTATAGTCGATCATGTGATGGTGAATGCTAGATGTTGATGGTTTGCCAGACGCTGGTGCCTTTTGAGGTAGTCCACAGTTGTTCCGGGATGCTCATGCACTATTGTGCGCAAAATATGTGTAAAAGTAATATTTATGGCCTCTTTTACAGCTGAGAGGTTTTGGAGCTATTTGTTGTTATATCTTTGACAATTGTCAACAAAATGTGACTGCCAGATTTTGAACCTGGTACCTGTTGGATATGAAACTGCCCCTTTCTCAACCAAACTGTCCAGTAGTTTTGCCAGTATATTTTTTTGTAAGTCCTGAAATAGAGATAAGGCAAGTTCAGAGGAGGGCCTGTTGTTTTTTTTCCCCAAATATTGTGGCAGACATACCCTGTAATTGGAGAGTAATTTGTCGGTAATTGAAGACCAATATCAGACCCCACCTAGTTCACAGCTGTCTGGAAACTTCAGGTGGAAGTTCAGTCCCAGACCAAAATCCAGATGACATGAACTAGATTTTGCACCAGGCTTGCCCAAATTTTTCATGTCACATTTGTAAAAAATTGCCTATCACATGAAGCAGGTTGGATCCTTTCTTCAAATTTTGTCACAACAATAAACATGCTATGAGGAGGTTTAACCCTAAAAGAGCCAGGTATTTTGGACCTTCTTGTGGAGGGGGGGGTTCTTTATCTCCCCCATTTTCTTGGAGGGGGGAGAGGGAGAATCCCAGACATTTTCTCTGACTGCATTTTTTCACCCACCGAGCCTTAAGCTTTTCCCAGTAGTGTCTTGCAGTCACTTTGATACCAGTCTTGTGGAGACGGGTTAGCCAAAAATTTCCCCATCAACATACTCACTGCACAAAGGCTGGCATGCGGGAGGGCCTAACTTCAAATAATTGTAACAACAAAATCCTACGTCTGATACAAACTTCACAGACACTCTCATAATTAAAGTCTTTGCACACATGCTAAATTTCAAAACAATCCAATGTGAGCCAGCTGAGTTCTTAGCCCTGGCCAAGGGATGGTTTTCCCCCCCCCCAAAAAAAAGCCTGTCTCTTTTAAGGTTAATTATTCAGGCCTTGTTCTTTGTGCCTGCCTTCTCGGGCAGCCAGTTCCCACAAGCTCCCACGCCTGCTGCAAGGGCTGGGTTTTGGCTTCCTTCTGCCTTGCTGCTGCTGGCTGTGCTGCTCGTTAATTTCCTGGCCAGCAGTGTATCCAATGATATATGGCTGTGCGTATTACGGGGGAAGATACGTGCGCACCAAGATACGTGCGCACCGGCCCAATCATGACAAGATACCGGTACATTTAGGTCAGCGATCATTCCAGAGTTCAGGCATTAAAACTCTTTATACCTACATTGCCAACGTTCTTTGACAACTATAAACCACATCTAGGGTGGTAGCACGTTGATTTTTCAGCCATGTGATGGACTTTAAACTGGCCTTAGACCCTGCCTGACTCTCTGCTTTGCAGGCGTGGTGGAATACCTGACGACGGAGATCAGCACGTCCAAGCAGAAACGCTTCAGCCTGGTCACTTTTGTGGACACACCCGGCCTGGTGGATGGCGACATGAAGTATCCCTTTGACGTGGACAAGGCCATCATCTGGCTGGGTAAAGAATGTCAAGTACCAGTAGTTGGGGGGGGGAGGTAGACGATAAAATGTCTGGCTTCAATCGGTGTGGTATGACAGTTTAATGCACTAGTGCAGGGAAGACTGTCAAAAAAACCAGTCATGAGTATCAGGTTGAAGAAAGACAAAGGAATGCTTTTGTTGCTGTTCATGTGAATAGCTTGTGAGTTGAAGACAGATTGGAGGTCTTGTAATGGTCTTGTGGTTGTCTAAAGGGGTCTCAATTAAAGAATTTGTCTTGGTGGCAGCGTATCTTCAGAAGCTGTCCTTCATTGCTGATGAAAACGCACTGTAACAGGGATAAAACTTGAACTTTCAAAGTTGTCTGAGTTACTTCATGTAACTTCTTCTTTCTTGATACTAACGTTGTAATTTGACAGTGCCTCATTACCAAAGTTGAAAATAAAAGGATTTGATCAGGCTAGCTAGAAAAGTACCAGAGTGTGATGTTTAATTAGGATGACAGGATCTCTCAGCAAATATGCGTTCCTATCAGTAAGCCTTTTGTGAGTTAAATTTGAATAGAATCTAGTACTCTGCGTTCTTTAAATACACGTGAACATTAACAATTTGAATTCTCCATACTAAAAACACTGTTGCTATACCTCGTGATTCGGGGCAAGCTTTTGCTTAGTTACATAAGAGACACCTTGCACCAATATGCTGTTCTCAATGGATAAGAAGGGCACAAAGGAGCCAGTCCATTCCAGAGATGGTGGTCACTATGCAAAAGCCTGTCCCGAATCATGAAGTATTGTTAGGTTTATGTGCAATCAGATAACTCGGTGTGCCAGATTTGATTCGAATTTAATTCACAAATGGCTTATTATAAGTCTCTTCGAGCCCAATCACAAGTCCTTTCACAAGAGCCTAAGTAATGGGGTGACCAATGACATATGAACGTTACAGTTGATTTGATAGTTTGACTTGGCTTAAGGCTTGTTGTCTTCTGATGGACCTGAAATGGACATGCAGGGACTTAAGATGGGGTCGACTTCAGTGAAGGACTCTTCCAGTGTGACGCCCATTTACTTCTCTTGTCCCCACCCCTTCTCAGGCAACCTGGCGGACCTGATCTTCGTCTTCTTCGATCCCATCGGCCAAGCGCTGTGCAAGCGGACACTCAACCTGGTGGAGAAGCTGAACGAGACGCATGCCGACCGTATGAAGTTCTACCTAAGCAAGGCGGATGAGGCAGGCCACGAGAGCGACCGGCAGCGCGTGCTGATGCAGATCGTGCAGGAGCTGTGCAAGCGGCCTGGCCTGAACCGCACGGGCTTCGACATGCCCACCATCTACGTCCCGACGCAGAGCTCCAACAAGGTAGGCCAGCACAGAATGTAACTGACCCGTCACTGCAGAATGAGCATCAAGTCGGAAATCAATATTTTTTTGAACAGTGTGGCAAAACCAAGTTTGGAAGGGCCGGTTGAGGTGTTGTGGTTAAAGTGAACCTCATTCTGTAAATTCTGTTCTACTTTCACTTTTTGACTTTGAAATAACTGTTTTTGTTTTCAGACCAAATTTTATTCCATTTTCTAAGATGACAGATCATGGTTTTTGATGCCGTGAGGAGTATTTCTTAAAAAAACAAACAAACTAACTAAATGTATATCTACATTTCACAGTTGATGTTCCAAATTCCAAACAGTACCCTCACATTTTGAAAAGCTCTTGTTAGAACTGTACTGTCCAGGAATCAAAAATATTCTACTGTTTTGAAAAGTCTATCATGGAGCTCATTCTGTGTTCCAAGGTCACAATTTGGACTGCTGTGAAAATCTGCCATCACATGGGCTACCAGCCTCACGTTAATATGCATGTGTTGACCGTAATGTGAATAAGTCGTGTGCATTTGATGTAAAGTTCAAATTCCTAGCTGCACTTTTGTATACTTAGAGTGGAAAGGGAAGTGAATCCAAAGGTAAGTGGGCTACGGCTACACTCTTGGCAGACTTTCTAAGTTTGAAAAGTTATTCACAGATTGATTTTTAACCGTGATGTCACAAATTGCTTGCTTTTGCGGCCTTCCAGTAAGATTCAATGTGCAAATATCAATCAAGGGAGATTTAAATATGTATGGTTGGATTTGAAAATGCAAATTTGAAGCCAAAATTGAAGTCCATATGGGTAGTTTCTCCCAAATTGTCGGACAGTTTATGCTTAAGGTCTCTTCTTCAATAAGCTTTTTTTTTTCTTTGCTGTTTGAAGAGTCGCTGTGTAAACCAGATTGAGACAGTGTGCGTCCACATTGAGAAGGCCATCAATCAGACAATACAGAACACGTTGAACTCGCTAGAGAAAGATTGCGAGAACATAGCCAGCCTTATTGACAAGAGACTGGACTCGGACAGGTGAGGGAGAAAAGATGCCACCAATGCGCCTCTGTCCCCGTTCTTATTCATTTCCTGTCTCATGGTCTGCGAAATTCATTTTTTTATCTGCTTCGCTACTTCACTGCTTTTGAGCTTTTTTAGGGGGAGGGGGATATGTTTTAAACAACACAAGTGAAAAATTAAAATGCTCTAGATGCAAATTGTGACTGGAACACCAAACCCAGCCATTCATTTAAACTGGAACGTGTAGGACTTGTGGAACATCTTATGCAACTTAACTATCAAGCAGTTTGGCAGTGTCTTTTCTGGTTGGCCCTGAAACAGAGATAAGGCAATCTCTCAGGAATTTTCCCTTGGACAATTTTTTCCCCCCAACTAGATGTTTTGGCAGACACACCTGTAATTGGAGAGTTGTTTTTTGGGCAATTAAGGACTGATATCAGACCAGAGGGGTTTCTAGGTGTCCCAGAAATAGTCCAGTCCCGGACAAAAATTCACATGTAACATGAAGTAGATTTTGCACCAGACCGAGTTTTGTCTGTCTCATTTTTCCGTGCTCATTACACTGAGCAGATTGAATTTTTCTTTTGCCAATGGTGTGACAACGGTGAAGATGCCAGTAGAAATCTTAACCTTAAAAGAGCAAGGGATTTTTTGTGGGGGTGGGGAAGGAGACTTGGGAACTTGATTTTAGAAACTCTGGTGTGAGAGCATTAAACAAATTCAGGTTTTGATCTTTGTTCCTCATTTGCGCCTGCCTTCCAGAGCGGCCAATTCTTACAACCTCCGTGCCCGTGGCAAGGGCTTCATCTTCTTTCTACTGGGCCTCCTCCTGCCGGCTGTGCTGCTTGTCAACTTTCTGGCCAGCAACGTGTCCAACGATGTCTTGGTGTCTACACTAGGGAAGAACGGGGCTGAAACATTAAAACTTTACCTGGTTAGTCAATATCTTCTTCGTAGAAGGTGGATAACACATGGTTACTTTCAACAACAATATCAGGTCTGATTAGACGCCCCCCATCACCGCCCTTAAGACAACTTGGTAGGAAAAATTTTTTTAAGCAGCCCACAGCACATGCTGTAAGAGCATACATGTATATATCAACAGAAATTGGTTGCTTGTGCTTACTACGTCCTGTGTCAAACATACATAAGGGTCCGTCTATATATATTAGGGGTCCAATTTTTTTTGTGTGTGTCGCTGTCAAGTCGGACATGTTATTCTGTAAGTTCAGAACACATTCTCTAATTTCCAAGGGCGATAAATTACTGCAAATGACCTGCCCTACAAATAGAAACAGTTTGAAATCAAATTCGGTGATATTTCAGTGTCGGATTACACTGGTCAGGTGTAACAGGGACACAAAAATGTGTCAGTTGGATCCTGAATTTATAGGATGAACCATAAACATGTGTGTACATGCAGTGTTTTCTCAGAAAAGTGACATTGTTTCCAAGTGAAGAAACCAAATGTTATCTCTAGTTCCTCTCTTGTTCTTGCATGGAATAGTGGCCCGCGGAGTATTGGCAGTTGGGTTATTAATCAAGTCATTTCTGATAACCATTCGAAGCCAGTTTAAAATATGCCTTTAGCAAGTTAAATTTAAATGAAATCCGACATACTGAGTTATCCATTTACACATAAACAGAATTTGAATTCCCTACACTTAAAGACACTGTTGCTATACCTCTTGATTTGGGGTAAGCTTTTGTATAGAGACCACCATCTCTGGAATGGACTGGTTCCTATGTGCCCTTCCTATCCAACGAAAACAGGGCAAGGCAACGGGTCTCTTATGAACCAGAATCTAAGCAAAAGCTGGCCCCCAATGAGGAGATATAGTAGCAGTGGCTTCAGTATGGAGAATTTCATTTATGTTCATGGGAATTAAAGAACTCAGTGTACCAGATTTTATTCCAATTTAACTTGCAAAAGGCTTATTAATGGTTCTTGTTCAGTCAAGGACCAGTAGTTAGCTTGTGGTTGGTTCTTGATGCACTCAGCACATGTGCAATGAAGTCGAAGTACTAATGACTTGAGTCAACCGTTGCCTGGTCATGGGTCAACAACCTCGATTGGTTCAGTGACTTGACTGTGAGAAATGTGGTGGCTGGTTTGTTTTGTGGACGAGATCTTTGATATGGACGACATGCTTTCTTGCCATGGTCATCTTTGCACTGTGTTATTAAAATGGCCATGGCAACCAACAACGCAACCAACCTCACCAGGCTGGTCACAAATAGTCGACTTGACCAGTCCAATCATCAGCGACTCGCATGTGCTAGATCAGAGATAGTTGACCTGTGGTTAATTATGGGTCTTGATCGGACATGCCCAATGTGAATGTATTCGTCTCCCATGTACCAGTTTTTTAACAGTCATGTACTTTATGAGTGCTTTTTAACCACCATATACTTAACTGTTGCGATCAGCAACATGAACTGGAGACAGCGAATAAAGTTTTTTGATCGGAAAAAAAACAACAAATTTGAGCTTTGGATGCATAGCAATACTTCTGTAAACTTTGGCAGTGAAATACTCAGTACTCACTTTCAACTCACCTCCATTTCTTTTGTGGTTGATCTTCCTGATACAGCGTCCCATAGGCTCCATGTGGGAATCGATACCTAGGGATTACCATCTCTACGCTCTCATTGGACTCGTCGTCTCATCTCTCCTCCTCCTGGTCCTCGCTAAAATGTCAACCAGGTTAGTTGGCTTCATCTCGTTATTTTTTGGGGGGTTGGGGGGCGGGGATGGATCTGTTGTTGTGCACAGATCAGTATCTGCTTATGTCATTCATGGACATGTATGTATGTTTCTTGTGCAGAGTGCTTTGAGGTAGTTTTTCTCAAGTTGAAATGCTACCTCAAAAACAGTTTGGTGTATTCTCGGAAGGGGGGGCAGAGAAGCTGAATCAGGGATGCGAACCTGTCGGGTGTGAGAGTTGTCAGGATTTTTCCTGACTTCAGGATTTTTTCCTCAAAATTGTCCTGGTTTTTCAGGATTTTTCAGACAATCTGTTTTCAACTCGCGGAAGTCCCGAGTTTAATCATTAAGTTGTTTTGACATGGTAAAAGTTGATATGAAACACAAGAAATAGTTGTTTGTAAGGTGCCTTCAGACAGACAGAAATGTATACCACAGATCCTACCATACGCTGCTATGGGGCCCTCAATCTCACCCCTGACCTGTGAAGCTGATTGGCTGTTCGAGTGTGGGAACATACCTTTGGCTCATGGGTTTGGGAGTTGTAGGGGTTGAAATAGAAATGGAATGCCAGCCGTTCGTGACATTGATTGACAAGCTCCTATGCCATTGGTGATGTCGTGAATGCAGTGTGGAAATTGCGGCCTACCTCGTGAATGATTTAAGCTGTCTTAAGAGGTTGCACAGAGTTTAGTGGTTGAGCAAACTTACTGGGGTGTGTGGTTGCAGTCTTGGTCATAGAATATTTCAGCAGCTCACATGCTGAAAATTACTTTGTGGCATTGTCACAGCGAAAATGTAGAGTTCAGTGGATGCAGTTATGCATAGTTTTGATCTCTGTTGTGAGCTGTCCAGTGTTTTATGACATGTACTGAAGAGCAATTGGTGATAACGTTTGCAAACGTGAAGTTTGTGTGTGCATTTTTTTCAAACAGTACAATTTCTTCAACCACAAATTTCCAGACTGGTCCAAATCACACTTCTGAATGGCAGCACGTGCTTCAGTTACACCATCCTTGAAAGCTTATTTGGTTGTAGATTACGACCTCTTATTTGAACGTTTGGCTAGTAAAATGTAATCTAATTGGCATTCTCTCTCTCTCCACCAGGCTAAAGTCAACGCTGAGTCGGAAACAGAAACGAGTGCTGAGCGAACAGAAGGACTTTGTCCAGAACCACGTGAGGGTAACCAAGGTGAGAAACAATGCCCTTGGCAACGGAAGCCCTTTAATTATCCTCAAGCAGAACATTTGGTAATGTGGTCATTGTTGGAGTGATTATATTTGTGAACTGTGCAAAAGCCCAAACAAAGGACAAGTTTTGTTCCCTGAACCAACCTTGAAAGTGATACAAATTATTTTTTTTTTTTTATTTGATTCGAATGTTTGATAAAAATGACACTTCTGTCGACTCCCTAGCCTAATTTTTGTGTGCACCGAGCTGTATGGTTCTTTTTTTACCATCTTTTTTTTTAAAAGCAGATTTGCTTGAAAAAGGAAGTGGGTTTCTGTTGTGTGTTTGAACTCACCGACACCTGTAATCCGAAGTCAGATATTCTCAATGTACATGCATTTAGGACTCAGTGCAGGGGTCAGAATTAATGACAAAAACAACTGGACCACACGGCCGATACATGTACCACACAGATTTCACTTGATTAAAACACACTTTACATGACCAACACAAGTAACCAAAGTGAATGATCCGGCTGTCTTGTTAAACATGTGCTCTCCCAAAAGTTACATGTGCGTGTCATGAAATGCCTATGCTTGTATATATATATATGTACCTTTATCCCAAAGAAAGTGAAGCCGAATTTCTCTTTTACAAAAATTTGAGAGTAACTCATAGATAAATATGTTGGAAATCTGTTAAACTGCAGGAGTTGAACTGATGCTGCAAGACTGATGTTTACAATCACTGGCCTTGGTTCACTGGGCTAAAGAGTATATTGAACCCTGCGTTGAGCAGGAATGAAAGCCTTTGTCCCAGTGTTTGTTACTTAATAATAATTTATTCATTTATAATGCGCAAGCTTCATGCAGATATGTTCAAATATGCTGTACAATGAAGACATTAAACGTGATCCAGCAAATGACATTCAAGGGCACCTCAGGCAGCCACCAAACAGCCCACATCCACCTACATCTGTAGAGAGAAGACAACAAGAAGCAGTTACAGTTTTAGAGGTGGGAGGAAACCCCAGAGAAGAAGTTTCTGGGTGACACCCACAGAATCAGGTGCATGTAGGGACTGAAAACCCAATGCACATGTGAACCAAGGCGAGAATCGAACCCGAGCCGCAGAGGCAAAAGGCAAGGAAAAAACTACTTTGCCAACCTGACTCCTTAACTTAAGCTTAAGCTGTCGTTCTTAACCATGCTTTTTTTTTCCTTTTCACAGGAGAAACTTTACTCTGAGTATTTGCAACAGAGTGTGGCTGCCCATGACCTCAATTGACCCTTGTGATCACCTCTGACCTAGTTTGGAATGATGAAAGCCAACTGACAATCTTGGGGATTTATGGATAATTTTTCAGGCGTTGAAATCTTTTTCTCTATTTTCGACAGAAAACTTTTCTACAAGAGAGTATTTTATTAGATTAATAGCATGCAGGTGATAGGAATTTCCATTAATTTTATTAATTGATTTTGTTGAAATTTTTTGAGGTGTTTTGTTGTTCAAATGATTAAATTTAGCTTTTTTTTTGGTTGGAAAATTTCTGTTGATTTTGCACTTTGGGTGTTCAGAATTACGTTTGAAGTTCAAATATTTCTTGCCAAATTCAGTCAAATATCCACAGATTGTGTGCTTTTTGCGGAAGTGCTTCTTTAGTTGAAACAATGAAAGTGTCCGCAAATCGAACATTTTGGTCCAAAATTTGATTATTTTTTTCTTAAAGGGTTTTGTTAATCTGTTTTTCCTTTCAGTAGTTTTTGTGTGGTGTTAAACTTTTGACAAAAAGCAATCACTTTCTGGTTTTCAAATGTGAAGATAAATAATACATCCACGAATGCTTTTGAGAAAATCTTCAGTACTTAAGAAAATGAGATCTCACTGAATATTTTAATAGATTCTTGAAATGAATTTTTTGCTCACAACTTTCTTACTGAAACAAGTGGTCATGATTGATGGGGTTTTTTCAGCATGTGTTATTATTATTTTTTTTTTGGTGTTCATTCTTTGTTGAGGTGGATTTTATCAAATTTAATCCAACAGGGATGGAATTAGTTGACCGTAGGGCAGTGAAGATCACAAAGTCCACTGGAGCAGTTGGAATGACCCAAGACTAGTGTAGGCATTAAAACCAAAGCGCTTCAGAGCACACTGCATTGCAGTGACCTGGTAGTTGTAGGTAGTTGTGTGTCCCATGGAACTCTACATGGTGTGCTGCTTCCTTGAAAAAAAAATGGTGGCGTACATTGCTGGTCACAAACCACGAGGCAGCAGTGAAAGCCCAGGTCTCGGTTGAAGTTTCCATGGCAGATTTCTCATTTAAGCCCTGTTCAAGTGTGTTGAAGATCTTGCTCACTTTCACATGCTTTGGAGGCCCAAGTCTGTACCTTGCACTGAGATGAGGTTGTTGTCTCTATTGTTTCCTTAAATGAGGACCGTCCGTAGTTTATGGAGTCAAGTCTGTTTTATCTTCCTACCCTTTTATTTGGTTTGCCATAAATTGACATTGTAAGACTTAGGCTTTTAATGGTTAATGGATTCTTGGGGGGGTTCGGTAATGTTTAAATGTGTTTGAATTTTGATGGAATAAAGTTTCTTGATGGAATAATACGCTTGTCTCTGGATATGTAGTTTTTGCGTGCATCAGCACATTCTTGATTCTGAAGGCAGTATCTTTATTGATGCAGATGTTTCATTTTGTACTTTTTCCTCTTGCTACTTTAGTCCAATTTCAGATGCTGTGGATCTTTTGCTGTTGATTACAAGCAGCTAAGACAAAACCCAAAATACCTGATTGACACGTATCTAAGAACACTCCTGAAGGTCCAGTGAAAGTTGTTGAAAATCCAGAAAATGGCCTTAATCATGGCCAAGCACGAACGGCCAAAAGAGGATTTTTTTATTCATTTTTTGGGTCACAATTAATGGTGTAAACATTAAATGCTTATGACATGGTTACGCATTTATTGTTATTTTTAAAAACTCAAATGTTTTCTATTTCTGTTACCCTGTAAATACACCATCATGTGTGGTCCCAATAGTGTTGACAAAGGTTATTTTCTCCATTTACAAGGTTTTTAAAACACAAATCTATTGAAATAATGAAACAGCATATCAGAAATGAAACATTTTCCTGGCAATAATTTTTGTCAAAAATAGCAACCCTACAGTTACACAGTACCTTTATATTTTAGTGTTGGACCAAATGTAAAGGCCCCAAGGAATTTTTAAAGTGAGCTTTTATTTCATTTCATTTTCGGCATGAAAATTCCAAATGTGCATGAGAATAACCCAAGATGCCAAAGACTTGCGCTCAAGAGTTGGCAGCCGGGTGTGTAATGAAAGACATAATGACAAGCTATTCAGAGACACTGTGACATAAAAGTATCCAATTTAATTGACCTAATTTTTATGGACTATAAACTGTGTCTAATATATATTGTTGAACAGCACGGAGGGGAATATTGTCCCTTAGTGGTGCATTAGAAGGCCATAGTGATGTCACGCCAACAGCAAGAATAGAGACTAAGTGTTGAAAGCCACAAGGTGTGCCAGTTTTGAAGGCCCAAATGTGTTCATGTCTCTCACAGGTAGATTCAAAATCTGTTCCTTGTGCAGTGGCTTAGGTTGTGTTGGACTCTTACTGACTTTGAGTTAGAGGCTGTTCACATGTATTCATTTTATTCATGACTGGGCTATTTTACGTCATATATTTGAAGTCTCTAACCCACAGTGTATTTGGTCATTGCTTGACACTACTCAAACACTTGGATAAATGATAATTGCCCTGCTGCACAGACTATGATGGCAGCCATGGTAATAGGAATCACTCAAGGGGTATTGTTTGATATTCCACTTTTGATTTGATACCAAAAGAACGACAGATTTACAGGCTGTCCTTTTGCTCATTTAAAAAACTTTGTGATTGAAAAACCTAACTTTACTTTGCTTGTATTTTTTTTCATTCCCCGTGTTTAGATTAGCGAAGGCCTGATTGCTAGGTGAATGTACTGCAATAGCTGCCTATGTTGAGGCTGGCTATTGTATCTCTTGCATCGTGGTGCGAATGGACTGACCAACGATGAAATCTCCTAAGTTGATGATGCAGGTTACCATGCAGGTAAGAGTCTCACGTGTTGCATATGCTTGCAAAATGCTGTAGTTATCTTTTGAACTGTGTATAAAAACCCAAAAATGTTGCAAAACCCTTAAAATAATTCAAAAAGCAAACCAAATCCACTCCCCACTCCTCCATTTTGGTACTGGATCCACCCTTGGCTTTTAGCTTGTAAAAACAATGGGTGCTTTTGGTTTAAGCTAACACAGGGCATCCTCCCATTTCCATGAAATTCCTACAGATTGAAATCACAGTAAAGCGCTCTCAATCGTCCAGAAAGGCATGACGTCACTTTTTAATTCACTTCAACCAAAAGGGATGTTTAAGAAGATAAATCACAAAAGACGTACAATGTGCAGTGTTAGGTTAGTCCATCACAAGTCCTGTCATGAGTAAGAGATCAGAGTCCTTTCATCGTAGTTTATTCTCTGACTTGAAAATT